TTATGTATTTCATCAACACTTCCATCGCCAGCAGACACACGAGACTCCACTCCTTCCTTCCCGTAAATTGTTTACATACAACATATTACTCACAATCCTGTCAGAGCATCTTCATTTCTTTGGTAATACGAATAGTTACTGTCCGAGTACTAATACATGTGGGGAACCAAATCACTATTTTCTCCTAGCCTGATATATCATCTTCACTGCTATCTTTCAACTCTCAGTTACTCGTTCATCCGCTGCAGAAAATCTTCTGTGTCTGCCTTGTCTTCTAGTTACTGGATTTGTCTCTAGTGAGCTACGGTATCATATCCATTTTAGCTTGCAGTCCAGGAAGATGTGCCTCACCTATGCTTCTTTTATCTATATAACTGTGTATTGTGATGCTATGCTATCTGTGAACCGCCTCTCGGCTTCCCCTTCGTATACTCGCGTTTATTTCCAAGTTCTGCTTATTTCCAGCAACAGAACGAAGCAACGTGGCTTGCTGAGTATAATAAGTCTGTTTCTGCTCTATCAATGAGCAAACATAAGTGTTCTTGTCTTAGGTATTTGTTAGGAAACTTTCTTTGCAGCTCCATCGTGTATTTCTGTACCTTGTAAGTGCTTAAATGTGTATTTACAGTTGCCTCTGTCTGGAACAGTGAGGTTCTCTTATGTCATAATGCAGCTGTAGTCACCTGTATCTCTCACTGTTACGTTTTTTTCACTATTATTGTTTTTCAATACGCTGTTGCGATCAATGTCTCTTTTTTTTGTATACCTGTGCGATTTCTAGTATATATATCCACCATTATGTCTCACTTGGGTGTATTTGTGAGATATCTAATATAATGTGCCTCATCATGACTGTAGCCACCAAGCTCTCTTGTATCTCCGTGTATGTGTAATTTTTGTACGTATAAGACTATCTCTAGAGTCTCATGCGCACTTGTGAGATTTCCAGTATGTCTCTATACATGGTAGAAAGACACCATATGCAGAATAAACTTTCGTTTATAGATTACATTTCGCTTTAAACTTGAAAAAAAAAACTGCTTAGAGCAAAAGGTTTGTCGTGCCTATGGAGTCCTCCTACCATACGTCTCTGTAAATCTTGCCTTTAAATATGTATCAATACAGCAGTTGCCTAATGTGCATTGTATGTGCTTTGATACTTGATAACAGACCTGTGTGTTACAGCTGCCAGGGTATCTCACGTAAGTTCCTGGGATTTGTTTCAGGTTACCAGTCTTCTCAAGGGTCGTCTGGTAACGTGAGGAGATTCTGGCTTTACGTGTGTGAGATATCTATGTATCTTTACCTCTCACGTGTCTGTCTACTATACTGCCTTTCTCGTCTTCATTTCAGAGTTCATGGCGATGATGGCTGGTTAACCTCTCTTCCTCTGTTCTGGCATCTCATATTACTCACCACTCGCTCCTGATTCACCTTAACTCCTTCTCCTCCTCCTTCACTCCTTCTACACTCACCTAGCTTCCATCACAGTCTCCCAACACTACCTTCTCCTAGACTCTCATGGCTACAAGAGCACCTTCAAACTCTCCTTGCCAGCCTTGACCACCTTCACTCGCTCCTCAATCCACATTCCCGTTCTCATTTTCAGAGTTCATGGAGATGATGACCGGCTAATAACATCTCCCTTATCAAAAAAATTATTTTCGCCAACTTTGCCTTAGTATTGCGCCACCTTCGTCTCTACTTTACTCTGACATCCTGGCGTCTTTGGTGATCTTATCCAATCAGTGTGTTAGGAGTTACGTTACCAGATAGGAGCTACATCAACGCAAGAAACTGCAAGAACGTGAAGAAATCGTCTGAAGCCGTTGACAGCAACAGTAATCAACCATCTCAGTGAAGAGCATCTCCTGGCTATGAACACTTAACGTTGTGAATATAACCAGTTTGTTTCTTGAAGCAACCAATGTACAAGTCACGGGACTGGACACTTAAACGACCTATAACACGACCAAAAAAAAAAAAAAACACTAAAATGTGGATGTAAGTTGGTGACAGCTCGTCTCTACCAACCAGAAATACTAAACTACTAGAGGAGCAGACCTGAGCAAGACGTTTCCTCCGGGAGGGAAAGGAAAAGAAAGTTTAACAATAGGGGTAAACGCAGACTTTTTTTTTTTCTTTAGTTTTCTGGCGCTTTTCTGGAACTGCCAACAAATAGATTTTTACCGCCTGTGTCATTTGTCTCTTTCTCAGTGAGTCAGTACCGAGTTATCACATCTGTGGCAACAACATTAAACACATACTACGGCAGTTTTTGTTTCATTTTTTTCCACATTAATACTAGTTTTACGTTGTTTACATTATAAGTTTTGTAAAGCATTATTCTTCCAAGTTCATGTTAACTCAGTGTTCAAATATGGTTCTGCTTTACTGTTTAAGAACGACAAATAAAGTCACAAACTTGTCAGCTTGTTTTAATTAACCTTTATTTTAAGAATATATGAACGCAGTTCGAACTTTGAATATGTATCTTCTGTAAGGATTTAAATCCAATCGCTTTATGAAGCCTCGGAATCCAGCCCTCTAATTAGGACACTACTCAAGGAGATTGGATTTCATCACTCTGTAAGAGTCCGGAATCCATTACTCTGTAGGAGACTGGATCCCATCACTAAGGCTTAATGGGTACATAAGTACGCCTGTCTTCTAATAACATATTCATTTCTCCACTATAATTTACCTTGTCCATAATTACTATCACATTTACTTAGCATGTATATATATATATATATATATATATATATATATATATATACACACACACACACACATCTCCCCAGCCACACACATGAATTCTCAAGTTGTACGTATGTACTTCCCTGCGAAACACGTTACCCCCACGTGTGCATATGTACTCCTGAAGCGGAACATGGTTTAACCACTGCCGCAAACAGATTTCGCTGTTGTTGACTACTGTGCTAGCCTTTGATAAAACAAAGCTTGCACACGATGCGATCTGAAACCTGGACTTCGAGTCCTTTATCCGCGCGAAGTGGAGAAAGCGGGTCTTCGAGTCTGAGACACAGCGGTCTTTATAATTCACTCTGACTGCGCTTCTTGCTTGGCCATTACTCGATCAGTTTGACGGGAATAAAAAATAACTAACTTTTAACCATCGTTCCACGTGTTTGTGTCTCTGCAAGAGCTGAATAGCTTTTGCATCCCTGTCGTTTGATCTTTGTGCGTGTCACAAGTTGCAGAGAGACTCTTGTATTGAAGAACATGACACTTGTGCAACATTTGGGAAACTTTATAGAGATTCCTAAATGTCTCATTCTTCAACTTGTCGCTTTCTAAACAATTTTCAACAACATTTCTCCCAGTTGGAGCCTTGTCGTCACTTGAGAAAGCTCTTCACAGAGCGAAACGTTGTACCACTAAAAGCTTGATATGTAATATGTTTTTTGTCTTTTCGTCAAATCGACGGCTTTTGAATACACCTGGGTCAGTTAACGTTGTTTTGATGGTAATATATGCACGATCCCGCCTCACCTGGCACCTCAGTCCCTAGTTCACCTAGGTTCACCTAGCTCACCTGGTCTACTTATTCTCACCTGGTCCACTCCCTAGCACTCTTAACCACTTCCTAACACTTTGACCCACTCCCTAGCACTCTGGCCCACTCCCTAACACTCTGGCCCACCCCCTAGCACTCTGGCCACAACCTAGCACATTGGTCACCCCCCTAGCACTCTGGCCCACTCCCTAACACTCTGGCCCACCCCCCCTAGCACACTGGCCATCCCCTAGCACCCAGGCCCGCCCCCACCCCTCAGTCCCACCCCTTAGCACTCTGGCCCACTCCCTAATACTCTGGCCACCCCCTAGCACTCTGGCCACCCCCTAGCACTCTGGCCCACCCCCTAGCACTCAGGCCCACCCCCTACCACTCAGGCCCACCCCCTACCACTCAGGGCCACCCCCTAGCACTCAGGCCAACTCTTCCCTTCTCTTTGATCATTGACATTGATGACGGAGCTATTAATCCAAAGAACTGAAGCTCTCCTCCCCTTCCTCGGATCAAACCTCATAACCCCTCCCCCCTTCCATTCACCTGTGCATATTATGACCCTCAGTGATTTCCCGCAAAATCCTGCCCCTTGATCCTAACGTTTATTTTCTAAAGCATTACATTACGTTCTCAGAGTCTCCCTATTAAGCTACGTTACTTTTGTACACATGTGGTATACAGTCTCGACAGTATGGAGAATTAGACACATGTGCAACATCTGGGTATCTTTATTTGTAGACGTTTAGCCAACCAGTGGCTTTATCAGATTATGTCCTTGTACTGGGTTCCTAAAGCCACTGGAGGGCGAAACGTCTACAAATAAAGATGCCCAGATTTTGCACGTTTCTAATTCTTCCCAGGTTACTTTTGATTAGGAAAAATCTCAGTTATTCTAGATTAACCGAGTAAACTGAAATTTAGCACATAACCTACGGGAGAATTGTCTACCCGTACACGGCCAATCACCTGTGCACTGTTTCTAAATCCCTAGCCGTACCGCAAATGGCCGTTATGACCTAACCGTGTAGTAAAAGATTACATTTTCTAGGTTCTAATATAATTAGCTCACAAGGAAGAGGTCGGACGGGTAATCGGCCGGAAGCCTCTAGAACCAAGCTCTAGACTCATGGTCATCATACTGACTAGACCGTCAGGCACACTTCCTCATCAAAGATTTTCTTACATTGTTCACTCCATTACACCAACCTCCCCAACAGGGTAGACCATACAGGTTAGCCTCTCCCTAATACCACAATACATATTTACTCGGCCTTAATCTGTCACGATTATACTAAATTTCGCCAGAACTACACTTCCCGATCAATGTATACAGTTAATAATGTTTCTCTATCCGCCTCACTGTATGCTCACGGAAGACATAGGTTTACTGTTCACGTATACAATACCTCCTAGAGTGCAACCTGACTTAGTTTGCTAGAGTTTAGCTGCAGACTGCTGATGACAGTTACTTGCTTACACTGACTGTCTAGGACAAACCTGTAGTGACATACCTCCGATGAAGCACCTGTACGCAATGACAGACCTGTAGAGTGAAGACTGCTAGTAGTGAAACCTGCTAGTGAAGACTGCTAGATTGACAAACTGCTGAGTGACAGACATGTCTAGATGACAGAACCTGCTAGAGTGACAGACCTGTTAGTGACAGACTGCTAGAGTGACAGACCTGCTAAGTGACAGACCTGCTAAGTGACAGACTTCTAGAGTGACAGACCTGAGTGACAGTACTGCTAGGACAACTGCTAGAGTGACAGACCTGCTAGTGACAACCTGCTAGAAGTGACAGACTCTAGTAGACGTGTACAGTACCTGCTAGGTGAACAGACCTGCTAAGTGACAGACCTGCTAAGTGACAGACCTGCTAGAGTGACAGACCTGCTAAGTGACAGACCTGCTAGAGTGACAGACCTGCTAGGTGACAGACTGCTAGAGTGACAGCACCTGCTAGAGTGACAGACCTGCTAGATGACAACCTGCTAGTGGACAGACCTGCTAGAGTGACAGACCTCTAGTGACAGACCTGCTAGAGTGACAGACCTGCTAGAGTGACAGACCTGCTAGAGTGACAGACCTGCTAAGTGACAGACTGCTAGTGACAACCTGCTAATGACAGACTGCTAGAGTGACAGACCTGCTAGAGTGACAGACCTGCTAGTGACAGACCTGCTAGAGTGACAGACCTGCTAGTGACAGACCTGCTAGTGACAGACCTGCTAGAGTGACAGACCTGCTAGAGTGACAGACCTGCTAGAGTGACAGACCTGCTAGAGTGACAGACCTGCTAGTGACAGACCTGCTAGAGTGACAGACCTGCTAGTGACACACCTGCTAGTGACACACCTGCTAGAGTGACAGACCTGCTAGAGTGACAGACCTGCTAGAGTGACAGACCTGCTAGTGACAGACCTGCTAAAGTGACAGACCTGCTAGAGTGACAGACCTGCTAGAGTGACAGACCTGCTAGAGTGACAGACCTGCTAGAGTGACAGACCTGCTAGTGACAGACCTGCTAGAGTGACAGACCTGCTAGTGACAGACCTGCTAGTGACAGACCTGCTTGAGTGACAGACCTGCTAGAGTGACAGACTTGCTAGAGTGACAGACCTGCTAGAGTGAGAGACCTGCTAGTGACAGACCTGCTAGTGACAGACCTGCTAGAGTGAGAGACCTGCTAGATGACACACCTGCTAGTGACACACCTGCTAGAGTGACAGACCTGCTAGAGTGACAGACCTGATAGAGTGACAGACCTGCTAGAGTGACAGACCTGCTAGAGTGACACACCTGCTAGTGACAGACCTTCTAGAGTGACAGACCTGCTTGAGTGACAGACCTGCTAGAGTGACAGACCTGCTAGAGTGATAGACCTGCTAGAGTGACAGACCTGCTAAAGTGACAGACCTGCTAAAGTGACAGACCTGCTAGTGACACATCTGCTAGAGTGACAGACCTGCTAGTGACAGACCTGCTAAAGTGACAGACCTGCTAGAGTGACACACCTGCTAGAGTGATAGACCTGCTAGTGAAAGACCTGCTAAAGTGACAGACCTGCTAAAGTGACAGACCTGCTAGTGACACATCTGCTAGAGTGACAGACCTGCTAGTGACAGACCTGCTAAAGTGACAGACCTGCTAGAGTGACAGACCTGCTAGAGTGACACACCTGCTAGAGTGACAGACCTGCTAGAGTGACAGACCTGCTAGAGTGACAGACCTGCTAGAGTGACAGACCTGCTAGAGTGACAGACCTGCTAGTGACAGACCTGCTAGAGTGACAGACCTGCTAGAGTGACAGACCTGCTAAGTGACAGACCTGCTATAGAGTGACAGACCTGCTAAGTGACAGACCTGCTAAAGTGACAGACCTGCTAGGTGACAGACCTGCTAGAGTGACAGACCTGCTAGAGTGACAGACCTGCTAAGTGACAGACCTGCTAGAGTGACAGACCTGCTAGAGTGACAGACCTGCTAGAGTGCAGGACACCTGCTAAGTGACAGACCTGCTAAAGTGACAGACCTGCTAGAGTGACAGACCTGCTAGAGTGACAGACCTGCTAGAGTGACAGACCTGCTAGTGACAGACCTGCTAGAGTGACAGACCTGCTAGAGTGACAGACCTGCTAGAGTGACAGACCTGCCTGTAGTGACAGACCTGCTAAGTGACAGACCTGCTAGAGTGACAGACCTGCTAGAGTGACACAACGCTGCTAGAGTGACAGACCTGCTAGTGACAGACCTGCTAGAGTGACAGACCTGCTAGATGTGACAGCCAGTGCAGCTGCTAGAGTGACAGACCTGCTAGAGTGACAGACCTGCTAGAGTGACAGACCTGCTAGATGACAGACCTGCTAGAGTGACAACCTGCTAGAGTGACAGACCTGCTAGTGACAGACCTGCTAGAGTGACAGACCTGCTAGAGTGACAGACCTGCTAGAGTGACAGACCTGCTAGAGTGACAGACCTGCTAGAGTGACACACCTGCTAGAGTGACAGACCTGCTAGAGTGACAGACCTGCTAGTGACAGACCTGCTAGTGACAGACCTGCTAGAGTGACAGACCTGCTAGAGTGACAGACCTGCTAGAGTGACAGACCTGCTAGTGACAGACCTGCTAGAGTGACAGACCTGCTAGAGTGACACACCTGCTAGTGACAGACCTGTTAGTGACAGACCTGCTAGTGACAGACCTGCTAGAGTGATAGACCTGCCAGAGTGACAGACCTGCTAGAGTGACAGACCTGCTAGTGTGACAGACCTGCTAGTGACAGACCTGCTAGAGTGACAGACCTGCTAGAGTGACAGACCTGCTAGAGTGACAGACCTGCTAGAGTGACAGACCTGCTAGTGACAGACCTGCTAGTGACAGACCTGCTAGTGACAGACCTGCTAGAGTGACAGACCTGCTAGAGTGACAGACCTGCTAGAGTGACAGACCTGCTAGTGACAGACCTGCTAGAGTGACAGACCTGGTGGAGTGACAGACCTGCTAGAGTGACAGACCTGCTAGAGTGACAGACCTGCTAGAGTGACAGACCTGCTAGTGACAGACCTGCTAGAGTGACAGCATACGCTGCTAGAGTGACAGACCTGCTAGAGTGACAGATCTGCTAGAGTGACAGACCTGCTAGAGTGACAGACCTGCTAGAGTGACAGACTTCCTAGAGTGACAGACCGGCTAGAGTGACAGACCTGATAGAGTGACAGACCTGCTAGAGTGACAGACTTGCTAGAGTGACAGACCTGCTAGAGTGACAGACCTGCTAAAGTGACAGACCTGCTAGTGACAGACCTGCTAGTGACAGATCTGCTAGAGTGACAGACCTGCTAGAGTGACAGACTTGCTAGAGTGACAGACCTGCTAGAGTGACAGACCTGCTAGAGTGACAGACCTGCTAGAGTGACAGACCTGCTAGAGTGACAGACCTGCTAGAGTGACAGACCTGCTAGAGTGACAGACTTGCTAGAGTGACAGACCTGCTAGAGTGACAGACCTGTAGAGTGGACAGACCTGCTAGAGTGACAGACCTGCTAGAGTGACAGACCTGCTAGAGTGGACCAGACCTGCTAGAGTGACAGACCTGCTAGTGACAGACCTGTTAGAGTGACAGACTTGCTAGAGTGACAGACCTGCTAGAGTGACAGACCTGCCAGAGTGACAGACCTGCTAGAGTGACAGACCTGCTAGAGTGACAGACCTGCTAGAGTGACAGACCTGCTAGAGTGACAGACCTGCTAGAGTGACAGACCTGCTAGAGTGACAGACCTGCTAGAGTGGCAGACCTGCTAGAGTGACAGACCTGCTAGAGTGACAGACCTGCTAGAGTGACAGACCTGCTAGAGTGACAGACCTGCTAGAGTGACAGACCTGTTAGAGTGACAGACCTGCTAGTGACAGACCTGCTAGAGTGACAGACCTGCTAGAGTGACAGACCTGCTAGAGTGACAGACCTGCTAGAGTGACAGACCTGCTAGAGTGACAGACCTGCTAGAGTGACAGACCTGCTAGAGTGACAGACCTGCTAGTGACAGACCTGCTAGAGTGACAGACCTGCTAGTGACAGACCTGCTAGAGTGACAGACCTGCTAGAGTGACAGACCTGCTAGTGACAGACCTGCTAGTGACAGACCTGCTAGAGTGACAGACCTGCTAGAGTGACAGACGTGCTAGTGACAGACCTGCTAGAGTGACAGACCTGCTAGAGTGACAGACCTGCTAGTGACAGACCTGCTAGAGTGACAGACCTGCTAGAGTGACAGACCTGCTAGAGTGACAGACCTGATAGAGTGACAGGCCTGCTAGAGTGACAGAACTGCTAGAGTGATATACCTGCTAGAGTGACAGACCTGCTAGTGACAACCTGCTAGAGTGACAAACCTGCTAGTGACAGACCTGCTAGAGTGACAGACCTGCTAGAGTGACAGACCTGATAGAGTGACAAACTTAACCGACTTGGCAGAATGACAGTTCATCCTGGTTCTTACTGGATAATTTGACACGTCTCCCTACGTCTTCCCTAATGACTGACAAGTTGTACTTTTTTCTGGATTATGACAGTTTTTCCGGTTGCGTGATGCTTCCATATATCCGTGAAGGTTCCCCTACATCAAAGGGGACACTGAGAATGGCGTCCCTCTCCCCGAAACACCTTGGAAAGCGACTGTAAACAAATATATATTTTGGTTTTGCGACGAGGCGGGCTTGGATTGGATACCATGAGGCGTGGGTTGTGGTGGTAGGAGGGAAGGGGGACGTTAGGAGGAGGGGGCAGAAAAGGGCAGCTGCAAAAGGGGGGGAGGGAGGAAGTTGTCAGGTTGAGGATTTTTGCATCATGTAAAAATAGTTGGAAATAAAAGTCAGTGGTGGGCGGAGTGAGGTTCCACTGGGTGTCAGAACTCTGGTCACGTTAGACATTGGTCTTCTAGCTGCTGCTGCTGCTGCTCCTCTCTCCTCCCTACCCAATACGTGTTGACATGGTAAGTTTGTGTGTGTGTTGTATTCTCCTGTGTACTTAGCAGTTCCCTGTGTATATCGTGTTACTGCAGTGTGGTAAAGCCACAGGTTTATTTGCTGTACTGCAAGAACATAGGGAAGAAGTGATAATCGAGTAACGTACATAGAGGAAGAAGAAGAAGAAGAAGAAAAGCATTGATGGAAAGAAAAGAAAGTATGGGTGGAAGGATAAAAAAAAGGAGGTAGGAAATAAAGAAGCCTTTCCAGGTATCAGTAACCCCGGAAGGTTGACGGTTCAAGGAAGCTGTTTAGATCCTTTTCAAGTTTCTTTCTCCAGAATGTCACTGACTACGTACCCAGGTAATTATGTACCAGGTAATTATGTACCAGGTACCTAGGTACCAGGTAACTACTTCCTACTCCTAGGTGAAACAGAGACCCCGCTAGTGTAAAACAAAAAAAACTCGTCTGTACAGACAAAATTGTCAACAATCCACACACCCACACACAACACACACACACACACACACATATATATATATATATAATATATAAAATATATATATATATATATATATATATATAATATTTTATATATATACAGTGTGTGTGTGTGTGTGTAAAATTCCTGTATAGAACAGGATGACCATACACTGGGGAAGTTCTCACCATGTAACTCTAGGAAAGCATTGCCACATATCACTATCGGTCTCTCACAATGTCACTACCATCCAGAATAAGTCAGCAGCACACTGCGAGTGTATCAAAAGACACAGTATTAATGTTGGTAGAATTACCGACAATATGTTAGGTAAAAGGACACAAGAGCAACTAATGTGACATTTTATTGTGGTAACGTTTCGCTCTCCAGGAGCTTTGTTAAGCACATGTCCCTTTACCTATCATCGAAGACATAATAGCCACGGGTAACTAGAAAAAACATTAACCGAGATAAAGTACTGTAATCACGACTGCAAGTTAAGTATTTCATCCTGGCTACAGTAACCTCTGTTTATAAGTCTTCGTTTCGCCTCGGTGATTCTTCTCGTAAAGTGCGCGTGTTGTGGCAGCCATTATTTTTTTCTTTTTACAGAATCTGTGCTCGCTGGTAATTTATTGTAATGTTGTGGCAGCGCTGCTTTGACCGGAGTCAGATCTGCTCTGATGAATGGCCGGGGGACTAGATTGTGTATCTTACATTAAGGTTTTGTCTGCGGTAAAAAGGGGAAGTCTGTTTTCTTGTGTAAGGCAGATGAAGTTCTGATGTTTTGCTAGAGTCGAAGATGTTAGGGAGTGAAACTAGCGCCTTGAGAGGCCAAAAGCATCGTTTCTGTGAAGACGGAGACATGTTTAACAATGACCATCTTTCGCTGTGACATGATTTCACTTTCTGATGTTTTGTAAGAGTCGAGGATGTTAGGGGGCGAGACGTAGTTCCCCGAGAGGACGAAATCATTGTTTCTGTAATGATGGAGACATGTGTAGCATGTCAACCTTTTACTGTGACATTATTTCACTTTCAGCGGAGCCTTTTTGTCAAGCCTTTTAAGTTTTCTTTTGTTATTTCTTTTCCCGAATGACCTGTTGTCGGGTGAAAGTTTATTTTGTTACATGTGTCTTTATCTCCACACTTGTCAAGTTGTACCGGGTGTGAGTGTTTTCTTGGACATTACTTAAGCCCAAGTCTTAAATTCCTAGATCATTAAATAGTGTTGGTGTATGTGGAACATCTTATCTTTTGCGAGGAGTTGTGGCAATGGCACTGATGTTTTTAAATGGCTCCTAAATGGTTGATGAAATTTTCAATGTTATTTTCAAATTACTTTCTTGAAGAATGTTACAGAAACACTTACACAGAGGGTTCACTCGTTATAAACTCGTACACACCACACGCCAGAATGGGAGGTGTAACAAGTGGGGTTCACAAGGATCGGTATAATCACATTGTTTCTGTATTAACGATATGTGACCACAGCAGCAACAATAAACTAGTTTCTCATTCACGAATAATGTATATAAAAGAGGAAAAATAAAAGCTGAAAAGGGACAGAATGGTTACAACCGGACTGAACACATGCAGAATGATCACACAAGTGGCTATGGATTCATCGCAGGAATTACAATGGGATAGGTGGAAACAAAAAGTCCGATAGTGAGAAACAGACTCTGAGGACGAGGGGTTACCTCACTATGTACAAACCTTTGGTGGAAGGTGGATGAGTGATTTTTTTTTGTAAGACTGGTTTTGAAGAGTATCGGCAAAACGAAGCTTGTTCGTGCCCATCTTGAGTATGTAGCACCGCAGCAGCAGCAGCACGCACAGCCAGCAGCAGCTGCATGCAGCAGCAGCAGAGAGCAAGCAGGAGGAAGCAGCATCATAGCAGCATCAACAGCACCTCAACGGTATCATCAACAGCACTAAAACCTCAAATATATTATTTTCTACTTTTCCATACCTCCTTTGTTCATTATTTAATTTCACTGGACCATTATTTATCAACTAATTTCGCTTCTATTATGCCTAAAACAGCACATTTTATTTTCATTTTTTCCCAGTATTAATTTATTACATAATAGCCCGCTATTTAAGGATTTTATTTTGCATTATCTTATTTTTTTTTTTTGGCTAACGCTATTGTTGCTTTTGTTGTCTGGCTAACACGAAGTCTTGTTTGCAGGATTCACTAGACGCTGATCAGATTGATGGTATGTATTGCAACCAGGCTCACCTAGTGAAGCTCCTGCTTACTGGTGTTACCAAGTACAGCTTCTCATTGCCAGGTCTTACCAGTGAGGGTCCTGCTTGCTGGTAGGTGTTACCTAGTACAGCTTCTCATTGCCAGGTCATACCAGTGAGGGTCCTGCTTGCTGGTAGGTGTTACCAAGTACAGCTTCTCATTGCCAGGTCATACCAGTGAGGTTCCTGCTTGCTGGTAGGTGTTACCTAGTACAGCTTCTCATTGCCAGGTCATACCAGTAAGGGTCCTGCTTGCTGGTAGGTGTTACCAAGTACAGCTTCTCATTGCCAGGTCTTACCAGTGAGGTTCCTGCTTGCTGGTAGATCTTACCTGGTGGAGTATTTACTGCCAGATCTCAACAGTAGTTTCCTTTACCCCTAAGCCCTGGTGCATAAGGAAGAACTTTAAAACATATCCAGGGAGACTATGTACCAGCAAGAATCACAGAAATTGGACAACGGAGAGGAGGGTAATAAGATTTGATCCATGGAAGGGGAGGGGGTGCTTCAATTTTCTTGGATCAAGAACCTTTCTGTGCCATCAAGGCAGCCAAAACATTATTACTTTTAACCACTAATGAACAATTAAATTACAAGCCTGGCAACTAGAGGTCATTAAGGCAGCATGTCACCTGTTCACTACAGTCAAAAATATTTTAATCACCAAATAGGGAATAAAATTAATCTCTCAAGTGTATATATATAATATACACTGCGAGACGTTCATCTCTTATTGCATATTATTCTTTCCCATCATATAAATATCAATAACATTCACGCCACATTAATATTTATTACTCCCTTCTCACACTATGTAATATCTTGACTCTCACAACCAGTGGCAGACCTACATTTTTGGGGCCCTGAAGCTTGAACTGTTATGGGGGACCTTTGCAATCCTTTCTCGTACAGAAGACCCAAATTTTTTAAGTAACGTGGGCTAAAGTCGCTTCTGGGGGCCCTCCGGGATTAGGGGCCCTGAAGCTTAAGCTTCATCGGCTTCATAGCAGATCCGTCCTTGCCCACCACAAACGTTAATTACCATCTCACACCACATAAACAACAATCACATTCACACCATATCAACATAAATCTAACACCATGTTAACATCATTTAACTTTCCAACCACATAAACACTTGCTCTTAACCTGTAAAGCAAAGCGACACACTTGATTCCAGCTCACAAACGAGTTTCGTCTGAGTCCAATAACATCTTACAGCTCTCAAGAAGGCCTTCGTCTCCTTCGACACGGACAAGAAGGGAGCCATCGGCACCGACACGGTCTCCACCATCTTGAGGATGATGGGCGTCAAGATCTCAGAGAAGAACCTTCAGGAGGTCATCGCAGAGACTGACGAAGATGGTAAGTTCTTCGGACTGCTTCATGTCGGCTCAAGAAAAACAAAACCCGCGTGCGCAATCACGCCGTGATTGGGTCTCTTGGTTTATTATATATTTTAAGCCTGTTGATTACACCAGGGTTGTTTTAACTTGTTAGAACTGGTAGGTAGACCTACATGGGACTGATGAATTAGACACATGTACAACTTCTGGGTATCTTTATTCTGTAGACGTTTCGCCACCCAGTGGCTTTATCAGTGTAAAATAGAGCACTACAGAGGTCGAAAATGAGGTAATCAGTCCCTCATTTTTTACTTCCACGTGCGCTGTATTGCACTGATAAAGCCACTGATGGGCGAAATGTCTACAAAATAAAGATACCCAGAAGTTGTACATGTGTCTAGTTCATCATCTTGTCGGAATTACAAACACACATGGAATAAACCTCTCGTTTGGGTGTGTCTGTTTACCACTTGTCGGTTATACCGTACTTTAACTACTCAAAATTAGCTAAAGATAGACAATTAGCGTCTCACCAAACAAATGCACTCTCTACACTATACTAATCGCCTAAGTCCACGAAACTAATCTGGCATCTTAGAAGAATATAAGTCAGTTTTTTTAATTACTCATGAGAGTTTTCAGACTCTGGCGTATTTTGTCCTGGTTCGAGACTGCCAAAAAATACCATACAGACAGTCTCACTTACAAACCGCTGATAGTTACAAATATTTACACATACAGTGGAAACAGTTCTCTATGGTACGAAGTCAGGTTTTATAACTCACGAAATCGTAATAAGACGAGTGTAAACAAGCCACGATCCTGGAATTGTACGACTCACTTGCCATGAGTTCTAACCCCACCCGCACCGTAGTCTGTCAGGTTTTATGATCTCTGAGCCGCCTCAGTACCACCATGTGTAGGACCATGAACATCCTCTCTGTTATTGATTTCTATACAAACAATTCGTTCATAAGTTGAGACATTAAGAATGCAAGTTGATTTCGTCTTATATATATGTCGTGCCGAATAGGTAAAACTTGCTATTTTGTCTTAAATAGCAACCCTCTTCTTGCCGAATAAGGCAAACGAAAATTTGTGTATGCAATAATTTCGCAAAAATCATGCTGAACCTAACGAAAAAAAATATATTTCATTGTGTTCATTGTTAAATTATTGTAAACTTAAGTAAAATATATTTGTTGGATTAGGCTAAATTAAATTGCGCTTGTTATAATAAGGTTAGGTAAGTGTAAGGTTCTTGTGGTACAAAATTGTTAATTTTTACATTAACATAAATGAAAAAATATATCTTTAAACGTATAAGAGAAAATTGTAGAAAGGACTAAATTTTAAACGAGTCCTTGGTAATTGACCAATTTTACCTATTCGGCACGATAATATAAATATATATTATAATATATATATAAATATAATATATATATATATATATTATATAAAATTTATATTATATATTAAATATATATATATTAATATATATATATATATATATTATATATAAAAAATTTTATAATATATATATATATATAAACATATATATAATCAATATATATTTTTTATATATAAAAAAAAAATTATATTATATATATAATATACATAATATATTAATAATATTACTAATATATATTTTAAAAATATTTTAAAAATTATAATATATATATATATTTATATAAAATTATATATTATAAATTATATAAATATATATTTTTATATTATATTTTTTTTAAATATATATATTCTTCTTTTTCAACACCAGCCGTATCCACCGAGCGGGGGGGCCCCAAAAAGAAAAAAAAATTTTTCTCCTTTCACATTTAGTAAAATATACAGGGAGAAGGGGTTAAATATATACAGGAAAAGGGGGTTACTAGCCCCTTGCTCCTGGCTTTTTCGCCTCTTACAACACGCATAGCTTACGGAGGAAGAATTCTTTTCCCACTTCCCTGGAGTAAGAGAAATAAACAAAACAAGAGCAGTAAGAAAAAAGAAAAAAAACCCAAGGGGGGGTGTATACATAGCTTGTAATGTATGTTAGGTGACCTAAGTGTAACAGAAGACAAGACGTACCTGAAACCCTTTCATGTTTATGAACGAAAAAAACCAGCAACCTCCATGTGTAAAACAAATTACAGGCTTCGTTTTACACTCACTTGGCAGGACGGTAGTACCCCCCTGGCGGTTGCTGTCTACCAACCTACTACCTAGGATTTATATATATAATATTAAAATATAAATTTATAATTATAATATATAATATATTAATATATTATATATATATTATATTATATTATATATTTATTATATATTTTAAAAATATATATATATTTATTATTATAAATTTTTATATATATTAAAATATATATATATAATACATACATATATATATATAATATATATATATATAAAAAATTTATATATTATAAATAATTAATTTTATATATATATATATATATATATATAAATATATTATATTTTAAAAATATATTTATATATATTATATATATATATATATTTAAAATTTTTTAATTTTTAAATTTATATAAAATATATTATATATATAAATATAATTATTATATATATATATTTATTATATATATATATATTATAAAATATTGTACTCATAGTTGTACTCACCTAGTTGAGGTTGCGGGGGGCGAGTCCGAGCTCCTGGCCCCGCCTCTTCACTGATCGCTACTAGGTCACTCTCCCTGAGCCGTGAGCTTTATCGTCCCTCTGCTTAAAGCTATGTATGGATCCTGCCTCCACTACATCGCTTCCCAAACTATTCCACTTACTGACTACTCTGTGGCTGAAGAAATACTTCCTAACATCCCTGTGATTCATCTGTGTCTTTAGCTTCCAACTGTGTCCCCTTTTTTACTGTGTCCAATCTCTGGAACATCCTGTTTTTGTCCACCTTGTCAATTCCTCTCAGTATTTTGTATGTCGTTATCATGTCCCCCCTATCTCTCCTGTCCTCCAGTGTCGTCAGGTTGATTTCCCTTAACCTCTCCTCGTAGGACATACCTCTTAGCTCTGGGACTAGTCTTGTTGCAAACCTTTGCACTTTCTCTAGTTTCTTTACGTGCTTGGCTAGGTGTGGGTTCCAAACTGGTGCCGCATACTCCAATATGGCCTAACGTATACGGTGTACAGGGTCCTGAACGATTCCTTATTAAGATGTCGGAATGCTGTTCTGAGGTTTGCTAGGCGCCCATATGCTGCAGCAGTTATTTGGTTGATGTGCGCTTCAGGAGATGTGCCTGGTGTTATACTCACCCCAAGATCTTTTTCCTTGAGTGAGGTTTGTAGTCTCTGACCCCCTAGACTGTACTCCGTCTGCGGCCTTCTTTGCCCTTCCCCAATCTTCATGACTTTGCACTTGGTGGGATTGAACTCCAGGAGCCAATTGCTGGACCAGTTCTGCAGCCTGTCCAGATCCCTTTGTAGTTCTGCCTGGTCTTCGATCGAGTGTATTCTTCTCATCAACTTCACGTCATCTGCAAACAGGGACACCTCAGAGTCTATTCCTTCCGTCATGTCGTTCACAAATGTGTGTGTGTGTGTGTGTGTGTGTGTGTGTGTGTGTGTGTGTGTGTGCAAATTAACCACGGGGGAGTAGAGTGATAGCTTTAGGCCTTTCGTGTTGCAATCAACACATCAGGAGCTTGCAAAATTGTAGAAAAGAGGAGGATGTCCAAGCAAATACGTTCCCAGAGGACCGCCTTCACTGGAGTGAGTGAGGGAGGGATAGAGGAGGGTACAGGAAGTGCCCCCAGGCACAAGTACCAACACCCACAAGGATGAATATTATAGCATTAGAAAAAAATCCCACAAGCACTGATATTGTAATGGCCTAAACGAAATTAACCTGGCAATAATAAAAATTCGATCATATTCCGCTATGACATCAATAACTTTACACACATAAATATACTGTCAGTGATATAGAAGTCTCTTGGTCCAAGCAGGACCGACACGTTGTCATAAAGTTTTAATGGTACAAAAGGATAGGTTTACATTTGCTAGATTTATAGATGGTACTATTCGTAATTACAGAAAAGGGGAAAACTACAGGTTAGTATAGGGAAATCCTGAGAAATGTTCCCAATGTTTCCTTAACAAGAGAATTTTTGCTAAAATCATGTTTAGATTGTCACATTTAAAGCCGATCGATTGCAGTACTGTTGGATTCATACACGGAGTTTACACCTAAACAATTTACAGATTTCGAAGGTTATGCCAGGGTCTGGAACAGTAATATAATCAGTCATTCCCTGTCTTCCTCAGGATCCGGGGAGCTGGAGTTTGAGGAGTTCGTGGAGCTGGCCGCTAAGTTCCTAATTGAGGAGGACGAGGAGGCTCTCAAGGCAGAGCTGAAGGAGGCCTTCCGTATCTATGACAAGGGAGGTAAATACTTCAATGTTTAGGACCTCTTACTTGTCAATAAAAGGACAAACTGGTTATAAAGACCTACTACCAACACGGCCGAAGAAAATATGTGCAGATCAAGCTTCTATTGTAGCAATATTTCGCTTTTATAGGCCTTTATCAAATCTTGATAAAGATCAACACAGAGAGAAACGTTGTCTCAATAAGAGCTTGCTCTTCATCTGGATATTTTCTCCAAGGATAAAACGTGTGTAGTAATGTAGTCGCCCCTATGACATACGATTTTCTTGGAACATCAAAAGAGTGCAGATACCCTATTCTACATGACAGTTACATGATGAGAACAACCAGCAGTTTGTGGCTACCGTGTTATGTATAATAGTTACATTGGAGCTACGATCTGCTAAGCTTAGTTCAAGGTCCAGAACGGATTGACTATGTCCAGAATGCTGTAGGATAAAGCAATCAGCATTGCTAATATTTGTTGATAATTCTCTCCATCACTACCAGCAGGCGGAGATAAATGGTATAAAATATCGATGAGAAAATGAACACAAATGAAGTAAAATGCGAACCTTTATTAACTACGTTTCGCCCACACAGTGAGCTTTATGTTTGTGACTTGATAAAGCCCACTGTGTGGGCGAAACGTAGTCAATAAAGGATCGCAGTGTACTGCATTTGTGTTTATTTTTTCCACTACCAGGAGACGGCTACATCACCACCGACGTCTTGAGGGAGATCCTACGAGAGCTGGACAACAGGTTGACGGAGGCTGACTTGGACGGCATCATTGAGGAGGTGGACGAGGATGGCTCTGGCACTCTCGACTTTGATGGTGAGATATAGTGGCTGGTGTTTTGTTTGAACAAACAAGGTCTCCTGACAGAGGATATCAGTCAGGAACACCTTTAATCTCTAAAGGATAAAAAGTCACGATTCCGCTCTGTGTAGAGCGTCATCAAGTCGAGTAGATAAAGCTTAACATTAAGCGGTACGTTACCTCACGTAAAAAGCTTGATCTGTAGCTTGTGGCTTTGTCTCCCTAACTCTAAGCTTAAGCTGGCATTCCTGAGCCAGGCTCCTCGCTAGTGTTTACCTCATTGGAGAGATACTCTCTCTCTCTCTCTCTACACTTCTTTCAACAGATGTCAACTAGATTTTGCCTCGTGGATCTGTATTACATCATTAGGGTTTGGTGCAGTTTTTAATGCATTAATAACAATAATAAAATTATAAATACTAAAAATAATTATCAATTAAAAATAATTATAAATAATAATAAAATAGTTTTGGTGTCTTTATTGTACAAAGTAATAACTGTTTATCACTTTATTGTGGAATTTAACTCTTTTAGGCGATGCAAAATGCCGCCAATAAAAAGTAGGGGCGCCATTGGTACACTAAGAGAAAACACCATAAGTGTCCGGGGCCCAAAACTGTTCAACAGCCTCCCATCAAGCATTAGGGGAATTGCCAATAAACCCCTGGCTGCCTTCAAGAGAGAGCTGGACAGATACCTAAAGTCAGTGCCGGATCAGCCGGACTGTGGCTCGTACGTCGACTGCGTGCGGCCAGCAGTAACAGCCTGGTTGATCAGGCCCTGATCCATCGGGAGGCCTGGTCATGGACCGGGCCGCGGGGGCGTTGATCCCCGGAATAACCTCCAGGTAACCTCCAGGTCTATGTGTATTTTTCCAATTTTACCTAACCATGGTAATTTTTTGTTCATTACCGTTGCAGAGTTCATGGAGATGATGTCTGGGTAGGAGCGAGGGGGTCAGGAGCACCAAACTATCTCCATATGATCTCACGTGACTGTCTTCCAGAATTAAGATGGAGAGAGACCCATTATTCCTATCTCTGCTTCTCAGCTCCCGGAGAGAAATGGCATAAAATATAGATAAGAGAGGTAAAGGAGACAAATGCAGTTTATAATGGGATCATAGACGACATTTGTGACTTTGTAAGGCTCAATGCCTGGGCGAAACGTCACTGTAAAATTGCATTATGTTCCACTTATGTCTCTTATCCTCAACACGCCTGGCTTTCATGAGTGTACGACAGATGGTTTGGTGATTCTCTTAAACTGTGGAAAGTTGACACTTGTGTACAGACACGATGAAGTCACTCGTGGCCAAACGTTTCCTAATTGTCCTGGACTGTACACACTAGTGTCTTTTTCCAAGCATGTCCGTTGTGTCCACTACAAAAAAAAAATATTTATTCTGTCCATTCCCGAGTGATCCATAACAACTGTGTCAACATTATCATTAGTTTCAGTAACAACTGGCTCTTCGGGAAACACCTTGTGTTCACGAAGATTATATATTCACCTAAGATTTCCCCTTCACAAGTGCATTCGAAATCGACAAAATTTCACTTTAATTAGGTTCAAAATATGTTTCTGTAGCCAATTTTATGTGGCCAGTCAGTAAAGTCTGCACACACACACACACACACACACACACACACACACACACACACACACACACACACACAATATAATATATAAATATATATATATATATAATTATATATATATATATATATATATATATATATATATATAATAGAAATATATATAATATATATATATATAATATAATATATATATATATATGTGTGTGTGTGTGTGTGTGTGTGTATGTGTGTGTGTGTGTGTGTATGTGTGTGTGTGTGTGTGTGTGTGTGTGTGTGTGTGTGTGTGTGTGTGTGTGTGTGTGTGTGTGTGTGTGTGTGTGTGGTAGTGCCGAATAGGTAAAATTGGTCAATTAACAAGAACTCATTAAAAATTAAGTCCTTTCTAAAAAATTTCTCTTATGCACTTAAAGATATATTTTTTCATTGAGGTTAATGCAAAAATTAATAATTTAGTACCAAAAGAACCTTAGAAAACTTACCTGGCCTTATTATAACAAGCGCAGTTTAATTTAGCCTAATCCAACTAAATATATTTTACATGAGTTGACAATAATTTAATAATAAACATACACAATGAAATATATTTTTTCGTTAAGTTCAGAATGATTTTTGCGAAATTATTGCATACACAAATTTTTGCTTGCCTTGTTCGGCAAGCATAAGCCAAAACAGCAAGTTTTTACCTATTCGGCACGACATATTTATATATACATTTTATGATTATCATTTACAATCTTTCATTATGTAATTATGTATGTTCAAAAATTCTGAAATAAATTTGATTATAAGAATGATCTTATCTATCATCCTTCTCTGTGAAGAATACAGACAGATTTGATTTTTATAAATCAGTTTTAATTTGCTCAAAGACATCGAGATTATATTTTTTTTTAATTTACATGCTAGGTTCCGTCAGGCAGGTATGATAGGCAACCTGTCGTTCCTATTACGTCAGTTTCCCAACGTTGTGTCCAGTGTCAGTCTTTTAAAGCTTCATGTAGAAATTTCAAACGTTATTGATTTTAGATTAATTAGGTCATCATATTAATGATACACATTAGCAAGACATTGAAGAAACATGTGCAGAGAATATCTTCTACAACTCTATTGCTAACCTCTGGCCCAGCTCCAGACATACTTCAACTGGTGGTTTCCCGCTTACCCAGGACGATGTCTTGAGTTGTTGCACCTCGCATCTTGCTCCAGCATATTAACACCCTCCTTGTATAGCTGCTTTACGAGAGGGCAAGCATAGTAAAAAAAAAATACAGAAGGCATACAATGAGAGGAGTATCACATTTGGTGTATATACACAGCTGCTTTACTCTCTATTTTAGAGTTTAAAATATTCTTAAATTTTGGCTTCTGGGAGTTTTGCAACCTCAGTTAAAATGACATAGTGGCAAAAGCCAAGTATGAACCGAAATTGCTTCACAGTCACGTCAGAAGAATAACGACAGTAAAGAAGCAGGTAATGCGACAGAAGGAAGGAGAGCTCACGAGAAAAGACAAGGTGTTCAACCAGAGATTAAAAGAGGTGTCCACAGTGGAGGTAGGGGCAACAGCGGAGTACACCAGCAGGTACTGGACACTATACACACAACAGAGGATATGTGAGAAAGCTATTGAATGCGCTGGACACATTAAAGGAAATGGGACCTGGCAAGGTATCATAAAGAGCAAAAAGTCACAATACCGTGACTGGAACAGTACACAAATAACCCTCACACAGGAGAAACTTTATGACCACGTTCCGCTCCGACATGGACCATAACTAACCACAACGTTTCACTGGTTATGATCCAAATCGGACCGAAACGCCGTCATAAAGTTTCTTTCTCCTGTGTGAAGGTTGTGTGAGGTATCACCATGGATCCTGCTAGAGGAAATATAAACATAGAAATACTATCTAGACGCTATAAGTCAGTGAATATGGGACAACTGCCAGAGAAGTCTCCATGTTTAAGAAAGGAGACAGGCAGAGTGTCGAACTACAGACCAATATTACTGACATGCATACCATGCAAAGTAATGGAGAGGATTTTCAGAAAAGTGGCGGAGCTCTTACAGAAAAGTAGATTCGTAACAATAACCAACACAGGTTTAGAGATGGCAGTTCGTGTCTTACAAACCTGATGGAGTTTTGTAACAATGTAACGGAAACGAGGCGGGTGAGAGATGGGTGGATTAAATATATTTGGACTGCAAGAAGGCGCTTACTGTACCTCATAAGAAATCGGGATAAAACTTGAGGTGCAGGCAGGAATATCAGGGAATGTGTTCCAGTGGGTCAACGAATACCTTACCAGTAGGAAACAAAAGACTGAAGAGAAGACATGTCAGAATGACAAAGAGTACCAAAAGGGGTTCACAAGAATCGCTTAGGGCCGCTGCTGTTTATTGTATACGTGAATGACATTCCTGAAAGGAGTGAGTCAAATATCTGACCTATTTGTTGATGTTAAAACTAATGAGAATAAAAAGCCGATGGCGATAAGGAAAGACTACAGATTGATATGGGCAAAATGCAGGACAGGTCAGCTAAGTGATTGCTTGAATTCAACCTCAGCAAATGCAAGATTAAGAAAATTGGAGAAGGCAAGATGACCGGAAACTGAACATAAATCCTGCGGACAAAAGCTGCAGACCTCGCTCAAAGGAAAAGACGCAGGGTAAGCCTAATGCCGAGCATGTCGTCAGAGGCTCACATCAGCCAAATAATCTCTAGAGCCAATACTCTTCTGGCAACTCTAAGAGTAGCCTTCAGAAATTTCAGCAGTCATTTAAGACCTTTGGAACAACATGTCAGGCCAGTCTAAGAGTACACAGCACCAGCAAGTTAGGAAACTAGAGAAAGTGCAGAGATATGCAACAAGGTTTCTTCCAGAGTTAAGTGGTATGGGCCACAAAAAGAGAATATATGAACCGAACCTGACGATGTTAGAGGACAGACAAACCAGAAGAGACATGATAACATACAAAGTATTGTGGGAAATTGACAAGGTCCATAGGGATAGATAGAGGCGGGAAACATGTTTCCTGAAGGTTACCAGTAGTCGTTTCTTGACGTCACTGCTCTCTCGACCGGGTCCCAGACCAGGCCACTCTTCATGCATGAAGAGGACTACCAACAGACCCCTGGCTGTCTTCAGAAGGAAACGTATGCACCACAGCCAGTCTGTGGTGTATACCTTCCCGCTTGAAGACAGCCAGGAATCTGTTGGCGGTCCTCTATACGAATGAAGAGACTGATGAAGAGTCTTGGTCCCATGATTATACATGGTTACACACATCCGGAAAGGATGAAAACATTGGACATGTCTCCTCACACGGTGTGAGGAGACATGTCCAATGGTGTGAGTCACACCTGCTGCCCCTGTTCACCTAGCTGTAACTAGGTACCTGGGTATTAGTCAACTGTTGTGGGTCGCACCTTGGGGGACAAGATTAAAAGACCCCAGCGGAAATAAGACAGTCCTCGATGATGCACTGGCTTTAACTTCAATTCAATTCAATTCAAAGTTTATTCTCTATAAGGATTACAATGCTGAGTTTACAGAATTTGGTTATTGTGTGGTTTACATGTAGTTAAATAATGATTACAGAGTGTACCACTAGAACACCTAGCATGGCTAGGCATTTCAGGCAGACTTAGTTTAATTCTTAATTTTAAAATATTACAAATTATGAGGTAAGTTGGTATTATGGCTAAGTGACTAAATACTAGTTTGTGAGTTTAGCAATGTGAATGCTTTTGTTTTGGCACAGTACATAGTTTCAGTATTGGAGTATCACTGGATTCATTATTTTAAGATTGAGATTAATATTTCTGTTTATGGTCAAATGGGTGAGTGAGTGTAAGTGTGAACCACCAGGTGGTATTCGTGTAGTTAGTTGACAGGGTGTATCAGGGAGATAAGAGTGTTTTCTAATGGTAGTTTTGAAGGTGATGAATGTGTCTGCAGTTCTAGAGTTCTCAGGTAGGGTGTTCCAGATTTTAGGGCCTTTGACATACATTGAATTTTTGTAAAGTTTAGTCGGACACGGGAATGTCGTAGAGATGTTTGTGTCTGGTGTTATGCCTGTGGGTTCTGTCACAACTATCAAGAAAGCGTTTTAGGTCAAGGTTGATATTGGATTTTAAGGTCCTGTAGATGTAGATTGCACAGTAGTAAGTGTGGATGTACTGAACAGGGAGTAAGTTTAGATCTATGAAGAATGGGGGGTGTGTTGCCAGGGATGGGATTTAGTGATTATTCTTACTGCAGCTTTTTGTTGGGTTATTATTGGCTTTAGGTGTGTTACTGCAGTTGATCCCCAAGCACAAATAGCATAGGTGAGGTATGGATAAATAAGTGAGTGGTATAGTGTGAGAAGGGCATTTTGCGGCACGTAGTATCGTATTTTGGAGAGGATCCCAACCGTTTTGGATACTTTTTTTGGTTATGTGTTGGTTATGTTCAGTGGTCAGTCGTCAGTGTTCAGTGGTCAGTCGTCAGTGTTCAGTGGTCAGTCGTCACGTGAGGTCACAGACCCTGAGCTGCTTTGGGGATTAGCGTGGACGGTTACAAAGCATGGCTTGCTTCTGCAGTGTTTTAAAAACTGAGTTTGGAGAGTTGAAGGAGGAGGTCTTGCTTCTCCAGGAGGAGATTAGGAGGCTGAAGGTCCACCTCAATGGGCCTGGGAGAGAGTGTGAGGTGGTTGGAGATGTGGGGAATGAGGCTTCTAGCAGTGAGGTGCAGTCTGTCTCTCACTGTGAGGAGGCTGTAGGTGGGGAGGTAGCAACGGGTACCAGCAGTGAGGTGCAGCCCAGCACCTGCTACAAGTGGCGAGTTGTTCACA